CTTGAGTATTATCCTGGATACAATTTTTGTAAGGGTAAGTGTATATACACGAACCCTGTTGTATTCTTGTGATTATAATAAGCAATACATTAATATACATGTCAATTACTTTTTCCCTCCCTCTCTCTCTCTCTCCCTCTCTCTCCTTTTGTTCATGTTCATATACAGAGTCGCTTACCATTTGTCCAGTGTCCGAGTTACGTCCCATTAGACACTGGGAGGTTGGTAAATACTTCAAATCATTCGCTGGCGACAGATATATTCCCAATAATGCTCTTCAAGAGAAGTATCCAAACACAACAGCAGTTCAGTGACCTTCGGCCAATTTATATAATAATTAATAATATTCATCAATTAATCCACAGATGTATTATATAAGACACACTTCATTTCAAATGCCATCTGCAATTATTATTATTATTATTATTATTATTGTTATTGTTCTTGTTGCTTAATAATTATTTAGTTATGTACATGTATATATTTTTCTCGTAAAAGTTTTAATTTTTCTTTCCATTTTAAAGCTCTTTCTTCCGATAATCTGCTGACCTCAGCATCACTGAGAACCGGTAACTACAAAAAGACGATTAAATTACTCTAATTAATGCCCACAGCCTACTTCGATTGTTTTTGTAATTAGAGACGGTACGTGTGAAATTATTTCCATCCCTTCATCGTCTCGTTTAGTTGCACCAAACATTGCATCGTCATGTCGACCAATAGAAGTACCTTCGGAAACTTTATCCTCCTATAAAAATGGGCGTGGTAATGGGTGTGGTTAAAATAAAATTAATATACTAAATATGGAAATAGATAATATCAGTACTTGATTATTCTTGTCTTTTCTTTTTGATGTGAAACTCTGTGGTTTAAACTCATTCTCTGTTTCCAGCTCAAGTACTTGTACCGGATTGGGTGGAGGCGTGGCTCCAGAGGGCGTGGTCTTGTCTAAGAGTACCTTTACTTTAGCTTTGAGCCTTTCAGCAGGAGTCTCATTACGCAATAATTAATTAAATGCTTTTAATTATTAATTACCATGTTTTTGTATTCATCGTTGTCAACTTTTGCCTGTTTTTCTTTATTACTAACAATAATAAATATTTCTTATTAATAATTATTATGATTTAAAAAGGACGATAATTATTATAATTAATTAAACTACCTTTGATCAGTTGATGTGGTTTTCTTCACATTAAGAGGTGATCGTGATCTGTCTAATTAATTAATTAATTAATACTGGTAGCATTATGATACAGTACCTACCTCTAAATAATAAAAATAGTAGGTGGCAATAATAATAAAAATTTAAAATAGTTACAATTTAAAGACTGATCACCACTATAGACTACACTATAGAAAGCTTAAGTATATGTGACCATAATTGACAAGAGGTACCTTATGGCGGATAGGAAAATTGGTCTTTACAGCCTGAAAAATGCAACTTCCTGAGCTCTATTTATCACAAAATTTCTTCAAAAGATGTAAAAAGTTATTATATAACTTTTAAAACAATATTTGTCTAACAGAGCACTCACAGGTTGATATTTTTCATTATAATGATGAATTTAAAAATCCGCCATAAGGTACCTTTTGTCAATTATGGTCACATATTAACCTACTCCTCATAGTTTAATACTTATCACTGCTTATATTACCTCTTGTGCTGTCTGTGTCTCTCTTTGTCTCTTTTATCTTCTCTGGATCTCTTACTGCTCATTTTACACAGCAAATTTTATTTATTAATTTTTTAGGAAATTAATTTTGATGACGAAACCGGAAGTAATTCAAACCGGACGTGACGTCATTGTCATTTTTTTACTAACTATTCATAACTAAGGGCATTAATTAGGAATTATGCTGAAACAGTGCTTAGGTGAAAACAAGAGGTATTTTGAAACTCTCACCCTCTTTCCTTCTCTCTTATTTCTTTACTTCTCTCTTTCAATCTCTGTCTTCATTAATCTCTCTGTTTCTTTGTCTCTCTCTTCCTCTCTCTCTTTCTCTCTCTCTTCCTCTCTCTCTTTCTCTCTCTCTCTCTTTCTCTTCCTCTCTCTCTTTCTCTCTCTCTCTCTCTCTCTCTCTCTCTCTCTTTCTCCCTCTTTCCCCCTCTCTCCCTCTAGTCCAAAGGCTATGGGTGAGAGGGCTGAAGATGATGAAGAAGGTCCTCAGTCAACAGTAGGAGGAGGAGGAGCAGTAGGAGGACTAACCAATGGAGCCTGTCACTCACCTCAGGCTGGGAGTGTAGTCTCTCCTGACATGTGTTATTATTGTTTTGATGTTCTCTTAGCTCATTTAACCCAATCACCATCTCCTAGGAGCCCACACTTCTCAAACGATGAATAGTAATGATAATAATAATAGTAATGATAAATATCAATTTATAATATCATACATTTACATGTACAATATTACACGTATACATGTACAGTAAAATTCTGTTAGTCAAATACTATTTACCCCTCTAATTAATCAAGTAATTTCATACTAAACCTGATACATA